ACATCCAGCGGCCTGTGAAGCAGCGGAGCCTCGTACCAGCGGTGTCGCCAGCGGAGGAGACGGAAGCGGTGTGACCGGAAGCAGAAACGGGGATGCCGAGCGGGGCTAACAACCAAGCTAAAAGCTAACCCGCACAGAACGCCGCTTCCTTCCATCATGCTTTCTAATGTCCGCTCCCTGGAGAACAAACTGGACTACCTGAAGCTGGATTTAACTGCAAAACGGGAGATGAGAGACTGCTGCGTCATATTTCTCACAGAAACGTGGCTGAAACCATCCGTTCCAGATGAGGCAGTTAGCATAGAGGGCTAACATTATTTCGGTCGGATAGGAGCAGCTCTCTCACTGGTAAATCCTGAGGCGGCGGTGTTTGCATATACACCAACAACAACTGGTGCAACAACGGTGAGATAGTCTCAAGTCACTGCTCTCCTGATGTAGAACTACTGACTATAAAATGCAGGCCTTTTTATTTACCCCGGGAATTCACTGTTATGATCTTCACAGCAGTGTACATTCCTCCCAGTGCAAACACCAGAGAAGCCCTGAATGTTTTATACCGCTCCATCAGTGAACTGCAATCTACACATCCAGAGGGAGTTTTCATTGTGGCAGGGGACTTTAATCAGGCCAATATGAAAACTGTTTTTCCTCATTTCCACCAATATGTGGATTTTGCAACCAGGGGTGGGAGCATGCTGGACCTGGCCTACAGCAACATCAAGAAGGCATTCAAGGCTGCACCCCGCCCCCACCTTGGCTCCTCAGACCATCTCTCTGTGATGCTAATTCCAGCATACAAGCCCCTGCTGATCAAGAAAAAACCCACAGTGAAGCAGGTGAGGGCCTGGCCTGAGGGAGCTATGGAAGCATTACAGGACTGCTTTGAATGCACGGACTGGGACATGTTCAAGGCGGCTGCTACGGACAATCACCAGACGTGTGTGGAGGAGTATGCCGAGTCTGTGTCTGCATACATTCAGAAGTGCATGGAGGATGTTAGTGTGATCAAGAACATCTCCACACGGGCCAACGAGAAACCCTGGATGACTAGTGAGGTACGTGCAATGCTGAAAGCCCGGAACGACGCTTTTAAATCTGGCGACATGGTGGCACTAAAAACAACCAGAGCCAACCTGAACCGTGCCATAAAGGTTGCAAAGCGTGCTCACAGTCAGAAAGTGCAGGACTTCTTCGAGGACCCCACGAACACCAGACGAATGTGGCAGGGCATCCAAGTCATCACAGACTATAAAGCTACTCATCCCCCCTGTGACAACAACATCAACTTTCTCAACGACCTCAACAACTACTTTGCAAGGTTTGAGGCACTCAACACCACTCCAGCGAGGAAATCTATTCCTCACTCCGATGAGCAGCCAATCAGCCTGGACGCAGCTGATGTCCAGAGAACCCTGAGGAGAGTGAACACCCGGAAAGCAGCGGGCCCTGACGACATACCGGGACGGGTGCTTAAGGAATGTGCTGACCAGCTGGCTGGGGTTCTCACAGACATCTTCAACACCTCGCTGATCCAGGCTGTTGTACCTTCATGTTTAAAGACTGCTACAATTATACCAGTGCCTAAAAAATCCACAATCTCCTCGCTCAATGATTACCGCCCTGTAGCACTAACCCCCATCATGATGAAGTGCTTTGAGAGGCTGGTAAAGGACCACATTGTCTCCAGACTTCCCCCCACATTCGACCCGTACCAGTTTGCTTACCGCCCAAACCGCTCCACAGAGGATGCCATCTCCTCTGCACTCCACCTGGGCTTACAACATCTGGAAGAGAAGGACACACATGTGCAGATGTTGTTTCTGGACTTCAGCTCAGCGTTCAATACAATCATCCCGCAGCATCTGGTGAGCAAACTGGCCCCCCTTGGTTTCAGCACCCCCCTATGTAACTGGCTGCTTGACTTCCTCACAAACAGACCCCAGTCTGTGCGGGTGGGCAACAACACCTCCAGTGTCATCTCCCTGAGCACCGGCTCCCCTCAGGGCTGCGTCCTGAGTCCGCTGCTGTTCACCCTGATGACCCATGACTGCTGCGCCAGGACCACATCGTGAAGTTTGCAGACGACACAACAGTAGTGGGCCTCATCCGTGACAACAACGACATGGACTACAGAGAGGAGGTGAAACATCTGGTTGACTGGTGCAGAACCAACAACCTGACCCTGAACGTTGATAAAACCAAAGAGATCATCGTCGACTTCAGGAGGCGCCAGCCCAGCCACACACCACTCCTCATCAATGGCACAGCAGTGGAGAGAGTTAGCAGCACAAAGTTCCTGGGGGTGCAGATAACAGACACTCTGACCTGGTCCCTTCACACCGGCGCTCTTGTGAAAAAAGCGCAGCAGCGCATGCACTTTCTGCGTCGGATGAAAGAGAGCACACCTCCCTCCTCCTATTCTCACCACCTTTTACAGAGGCACTATAGAGAGCATCATAACAAACTGCATCTCTGTCTGGTCCGGAGCCTGCAGTGCCTCCGACTGGAAGTCCCTGCAGAGAGTGGTGAGGACGGCGGAAAAGATCATTAAGACTCCACTTCCTCCCATCCAGGAGATCGCAAAGATCCGCTGTCTGACCAGGGCTCAGAAAATCAGCAGAGACACCTCCCACCCCCACCAAGGACTGTTTTCGCTGCTGGACTCTGGAAAGAGGTTCCGCAGCCTCCGAAGCAGAACTTCCAGGTTCTGTAACAGCTTCTTCCCACAGAAAGGGGTCGGGGCGGGGGAGGCGGAGCTAAAGTGAGACCCCCTGCTCGTGCGCTGTCGCTCTACCTTCACTTACTCTCTCATTTTTAATGAGGGGAGAGACTCAGCTGCCTCATGCCCCCCTGACTGTCTTCAGCAAACAGTGTCCACGGACTCCCAGTTCTCCCAGTAATGAGATCATGAAAATCTTCTTTCATTGAATGATATTTTTTCATTATATTTTTAACCCAGAGAGACAGCACAGTCTAAATTACACAAATCAGTCACGTTACCGAGACGTGTGCATGACTCAGTCTGCGAGTTTAGCCGATTAAAAACAGGAAGTTATCCATTACTCTGTTTCTGTTGCCATGGTGTTGAAACTACACTACAATCAAATCGATGTTTAACAATCTTCAATCGTGGCGACAACCCGACGTGCAGATTGTGCCCGCCTGTCCCAAACAAGCCTTTGTAAAAATCTGATTGGTTCAATAGTTTGTCATTTTCTCTCCGTGGCTCAGAATGTGAATAGTTTGGAGCTTCTTCTCTGATAAACAAACAAACGTACCGGAGCTTCTTAAAGATGCTGCATCACAATAAAAGCTTTTATTTTGAAGGAGCTGCAGGAACCAGCTTGTCCGTTTGAAACGTCTCAGCTGTGAGAGGAGAGAATCGCGTACACTGCTCTTTGCTCAGTGTCACGATGTATTGAAGAAGGAGCAGATGTTTGAGGAGCAGCAGCGTGCTCCTCCTCACCTGCTTCAGGACAAAAAGGTGGATGTGTGAACACTTCCTGTCAATCACAGCGGGGTCTGAATAACGAGCTGCGGAGAACACGACCCGGTTTGGTTTTGAAGTAGAAACAAATCGTTCCGTCTCCCGAAAAAGAATCTGCAAAACATCTTAAACAGCAGCCTGTGATTGGAGACGCTTTAAGGGAAGCAGAATGTGGAGACTTGGTTTGATTGACAGCTCCAGGACGTGATGACTGCAGGGCGTTCTGCTGAATCCAAAGGACCAATCAAAACACAGAATTCACAAGATGTTATGTTGTCATCTTCATTTGACCTGCAGATAAAATTATCCTCATGCCAGATCATCTTCACATCACAAACTTCTCTTTATTGGAACTCGAGTTACCAAAGAAACATTCATTTAAAGAAAGAAAACTTTTCACCACTTTAGAAACAGCGTCACTCTGTCACTCCCAATTCACACACACTCCGTGCACGCCGCGGTCTGTCAGCGCCGCGGTTTTTGCTCCATCGGGCGGCGCACTCTGCCCCCACTGGATCCTTCACAGGAGAACTACTCCGACTACGAGTGATGGAAAATACGATCAGGAGTCCGTATGTTGTGTTTTATTTTGAAATTGACAGGGCGTTTCGTGGGTTTCCTCGTCTGACTTCCTGTCCAGCTTGACGCGTGCCTGCAGCGTGCTCCGTCAGAAACAGACTCACAGCGTGTTTGAAACGCGGCGCTCGCTGTGGAAACACGATCATTGAGTAGAGTGGCGGTGAGCTGCGGTGTAGTGCACGGCGCTGACCGTGCACGGCGCTGACCGACCGCGACGCTCTTGGAGTACGTGGAAACGGGGTAAGATGCTGACAGCTCACAGAAACATCAGCTCACAGCTGCTGGAGGAACAATCTCCCCCAAAGAAAGCTGAAATGTGAAAAGTGATTTACTAAAGTAAAAACCTCGGTGTCATGATGGTGAACGTGTTTCTTGAGGTCCAGGGCGTCGCTCTCTTCTTCTTCATGTGTTTGAAAATAACTGCAGGGCTTCTTTAAGAGTTCTGTGTGAAGAAACTGTCCAAATAAAACATTCTCACAGCATGTGATGCAGCACCATTCACTTTTTCCTGCACCTTCTTCTACTTTGTGGCGTCTCTTTCTGTATAAAAACATCAAACAGGAAGTAGAGTTCATCAGGAGAAACTGTTCCTGCAGGCTGGGACTTCTCCCAGTCTCTGCCGGTCTGCACACTTTTGTGTTGAGAGTTCCACCTACACCAGTTTCTGTTTCTTGCGAGCCTGAAACTGCTCCGTTTTGCTTTTAATCGACTTGACGAGCATAGACAGACTCGGGTCCATCGCTTTCTTCGAGGTGAGGTCGACCGCCGCCGCGGCGTCACGGTCCTTTTCCCGTTTCTTCCCCGCCACCTGCTTCCTGTCGGCTCCCTCCCCCTGATCTCTGAGCCCGTCCTCCAGGCGCCGCTGCTCCTCGTCTCTGCGGCGCTGCTTCTCCGTCAGGATGCTCTGCGTGGCGTTGGTCTTCTTGTAGCTGGGTGGGAGGGGTCCAGGTTGAAGAGGTGGGAGGTGAACATGGCCTGGAAACGAGGGTCCTTCACATCCACCTGGACGCACAAACAGAGAGAGAGGGAGAATGTTACAACATCGTCATGACCACGATTTAGTCAACACAGAGCTAACAGCCTTCCTTTGACTCCATCACACCACGAGAGAGGGAAATGAACGTCTATATATTTATTTCTTCTTCAGGTCGACTGTTCATCTTTGAAATCAGATCAAAACACGTTAAACGGGACGATTGTGGTCAAAACAAAAGTTTGAACATTTAGCGGCCGAATGCTAAAGTCAAGTCCTGGAAACCGGAGGACATTCAGCTGGAGCAGCACGACCTGTGACATCATCACACCCACCTGGAATTGGTCTTCCTGCTGAAGCTCCTCCCCCTTCTTCTTCAGCAGCTTCTTCTTCTTCTGGCTCAGATTCTGCTGCTCCACGATCTTATCGTAATTAAAGTGTTTGTGTTTGGCTTCATCGCCCTCGTCCTCCATCAGCAGGGCCATCTCCGCCTGCACACACACACACACACACACACACACACACACAGAAAACAAACACACACACACACACACACACACAGAAACACACACACACACACACACACAGAAAACACACACACACACAGAAAACACAATCACACACACACACACACACACACACAGAAAACACACACACACACAGAAAACACAATCACACACACACACAGAAAACACACACACACACACAAAAACACAATCACACACACACACACACACACACACACACACACACACACACACACACACACGTTGAGATGCTGTCTTCAGGTGATATTTACAGATGTGATAAACTCACGTGGAGCTGCAGCCATTGACCTCTGACCTTTTGTTTCTCCAGCTCTTCTTCCTCCTCAGCGGTGCGCTCCTCCTCCTCCCCTTTCTTCTTCTTCTTCTTCTTCTGTTGCTTCTTCACGTCTGCACACACACAAAACAAATCATGACCTGACACGCTGCAGAGCTCTGAAGATCAAACAATTCAATTCAGACACGTTAGAGACACGTGAGAGCATGAATAAAAACCAGGAAGAACACTTCAGGTTTACATCCCGAGACATCTGAGCTGTTTGTTCTTCTCACAGGTAACAAGACGAGGAAGAAGAATGAAGCTTTACTCTTCTATGTTGACCTTATTGTTTCAAACTAAACTCCATCACTGACAGTCTGTCAGCTGAGTTTATAAATACAGAAAATAATTAAATTCTGAACAATTCCAGAAACCACACAGGCCTGGTGGTGTCAGACCACTCCTACAGGACTCTCCTGCTACACTGCTGCAGAAACAACAGGTTTCCATGTAGACCTCTGACTGCTGCTATGACACACAACGACCACTAGATGGAGCCCAACATGAAGAAACAAGAAGTGATCAGTTCTGTTCTGCTGCCACAACAAGCACCAAACTCTCCTGATACATGAGAGTGACTGTAATAAATGAACTCGAGTATCTTATTCACAAAGAAGATACGACGACTTTAATGAGACTCTTCCTCTTCTCAGATCAGATCAGATCAGTCTATTGAAGCTGGTATTTCACAACAGCCCTGTGACTCAGAGGGAAGAAACAAGCTGCAGTTAGAGGAGGAGCCACAGCTGAGGGAGGAGAGCTTCAGCGTCACTCTGAAGAAATGAAACTTAAAGTTTGTCAGGGTGTCGACCACGCAGCCGTCCAGAAAGGTCTCCGTTTCTCTTCAAAGAAATTAAACTAACTTCATCCAATCTTTGTCAACGACACAGCAGAGTCTCTGCAAACACTGGTGAGTACAGCTGATCATATTTACACTTTGAACAACCAGGATTTACACTCAACTCTTCATTTCACTCTCTCTTCATACTCCAGCTTGTTAAACTGTGTGTGTGTGTGTGTGTGTGTGTGTGTGTGTGTGTCTGTAACTGAGATTCATTCATTTGGACTTGAATTCATTTCTAACTTCCTGATATCGTTGTTGTTCACTGATAACATCCTGCAGCCAAACTGAATTCTATTTCCTCTGGCTGTTTCACAGTAAAAGCTTGACATGGAGAAACCACAATGAGGCTTTTAATTTGAAGGAAGCAGAGAAGGAAGTGAAATTTGTCAGCAAAGATTTGTCAGCAGTAAAATCCTACACTAAGAATCTGTCTGCATAACAGCAAAGTTCAAAATCAGCTGTTTCACCAGCAGAGGGCGCTCTAGCTTTACAATGCAGCAACATTGATCTTTGTTGTTCTCAGCTCGGTCAGAGTTAAAAACTGCACATTCATTCAAGATTACTTCACCAAAGGGGCGCTGGTGGTGCAGTGGTTAGTGCGCGCCCCATGTATGGAGGCTATAGTCTTCCAAGTGAGCGTCCCGGCCTTTCTCGCATGTCATTCCCCGCTCTCTCTCTCTCCCTGATTTCCGACTCTATCCACTGTCCTATCTCTCAATTAAAGGCACAAAAAGCCCCAAAAATAATCTTTAAAAAAAGAAAAAAGATTACTTCACCAAATACTAAAAGAACATGAATTATTTCTGTCCCATAATTTGGACATTAGGAGTTGTTGGACAAAATACAGATACAGCGATATATTGTCGTCCTGAATCGTGAAACACAATTATCACATCACTGGTCCAAACCAGGGTGACCACATGTCCAGATTTGACCAGGACCGTCCCCTTTTCAAGTGTCCCGAGTCCCACAAATATCTACAAAACACTAGTAAGTCCCAGTTTTGAACAGTCCCTGTCCCGGTTTTAACCGACCAAAACAACACACCATGCTTGTGACACTGATTTGTCTGTACATGTGTCAATCAATCTCGGAGTTGCAGCTGTCGCTTAGCTAGCCTAGCTTATCATGCTAACGGGACCTGCTGGGTAACGACAGGTAGGCGAGCTGTCATACTGAGAGGAAGTCAGCGTTTTCCAAAGAGCTGCAGGAGAGTTACAGCTTCCTTTGAAAAGTACCAGCCAATGAATAAGCTGCGTTTTACAATCTACTTCAGTCAAGCAAACGCCGCTGGCAACCAACTTAAACGAGCTGCTCAAGAGGAAACCTTTACCTGCCATCGTGTGTGATCAGTGCAGGTCACCGATCTGTGGATAGATGCATGTGGGTTTGCGGTAAAATTAAAGTGTCCCGATTTGGAGCTTTAAATATATGCTCACCCTATTGTTTACATCCAAGCAGTAGAGTGAGGAGAGAAGGCCCATTAACGAAGCTACAGGATCAGCTAGTGGCTGTTGGCTGCATTACACCTTAGACTCCAGCATGGGGAGCCAACATATGAAATACACACAGCCATGTTTACACACAGCCTTCTTCCAGGAGTAAACGTTGGTGCGTATGGCTGCAACTGCTCTCAGAGAGATCTGTATTTCTGTTTGTCTGATGCTGTGCTGCTGTTATAAGACCATCTGAACTACAGCTCACTCCGCCAACATTTGTCAGAGATCGGTATACATGACAACCAATAAAAATCCAGCCTCATCAGCCGGACAAGTAACCTGTTTCGTGATGCTCTCTCCGCTGCCAAATCTGTATATTTTGCTAACCTCATCAGGTCGGTTGAAGGGAAAACAAGAACTCTGTTTTCCACTGTAAACACCATCTTGCGACCACCTGATATTCTCGCACCTATACTCCACTGCCCACTGTAACACCCTCATGACCTTTTACAATGCGAAAATCGAAAATATTCATCAGCAAATGTCCTCCATAAAACATGTAGCAGACAGTCGCTCTTTCCAGCCTCTTCAGTTTTTAACTCCTAACTAATGATGATATTTCTAGTATCATTCAAAAATCCAAATATTCGACCTGTAACCTAGATCAAAGCCTGTCTACCCTCTCTGTCCTCTTTAATAACCGACATCATCCAGGCCTCTCTCACTTCTGGTCTTGTTCCATCATCTTTCAAAAAAGCTGCAATAACTCCGACAGACTAGCTTCAATCGGATTCACTGGCACCTCCCTCACCTGGTTCAAGTCATATATCTCCGGTCGCACTCAGTTTGTTCATCTCAAAAACTTCAGGTCGCATATCTCCCCAGTCACTATACCTTCAAATAAAACACACCAAAACACATTATTATATATTTGCCTATTCTGTCCCTTCTTATTATTGCTGTTTGTGTTTTTCTTTAGTTGATTGCGTTCTTGTTTTAACCTTTGTCTGTAAGGGGATCTTAAGTGACCTGAAAGGCGCCCATAAATAAAATGCATTATTATTATTATTATTATTAAGTACAAAATATGTGTTTGGTGGATTCATAATTCTGTTGCAAACTAGCGATGATGACGTTTAAACGTTTAGTCGATTAACCCGGCACATGACGCTGAGCACAACATGCAGAATAACCTCAGCAAATCGAGTCTGAACTTTAGAATCAGGCCTGCAATACGCATGGTTTTTTCATTCTTACCAACACAGGGCTCCACAGAAGGATGTACTCGCATCATTAACTGAACATCTGTAACAAACTTTGATCAGTCAATCCTTCATCCCTTCTTTCCAGTTTCCAAACAATAAATCATGTAAATTAATTAAATCTTATTCTTTCTTTCACTCTGTGTAGATATGGCTGCTGCAAACTATCATTGGTCTGAGGATCAGTTTCTCTGCTCCATCTGTCTGGATGTGTTCAATGATCCTGTCACCATACCATGTGGACACAACTTCTGCAAAAATTGCATCACTGAACACTGGAACACCAGCGACCAGTACAGGTGTCCAATGTGTAAGGAAGCTTTTACCAATAGACCTAAACTGAGGGTCAACACTTTCATCTCTGAGATGGTTGGTCAGTTCAGAGACAAAGCTCAGCAGGAAGCCAGCAGCAGCAGCAGCAGCTCAGAGCTACAAGAGTCCAAACCAGGAGAAGTTCTATGTGACGTCTGCACTGGACCCAAACTGAAGGCCCTGAAGTCCTGCTTAGACTGTCTGGTCTCCTACTGTGAGACTCACCTGGAGCCTCATCTGACAGCTTCACGTCTGAAAAGACACCAGCTGATCGACCCTGTGGAGAACCTGGAGGACAGGATGTGTATGAAGCACGATAAACCTCTGGAGCTGTTCTGTAAGACCGATCAGACCTGTGTCTGCATGCTCTGCTCTGTTTTAGACCACAAGACACACGAGTTTGTTCCTCTGAAAGAAGAATATGAAGAAAAGAAGGCAGAGCTAGAGGAGACAGAGGCTGAAATTCAGCAGATGATCCAGAAAAGACGACTGAAGATTCAAGAGATCAAACACTCAGTGGACCTCAGTAAGGACGATGCAGACAGAGAGATGGCAGAAGGTGTTCGAGTCTTCACCGCTCTGAAGGAGTCTGTTGAGAGAGGCCGGGCCGAGTTCATCGACACGATCGAAAAGAAGCTGAAAACAACAAAGAAACAGGCCGAAGCTTTCATCAAAGAGCTGGAGCAAGAAATCTGTGAGCTGATGAAGAGGAGCACTGAGGTGCAGCAGCTCTCACGCTCTGAAGACCACCTCCATCTAATCCAGAGAGTCCAGTCTGTTAACTCTGCTCCACCCACCAAAGACTGGACAGAGGTTAATGTCTGTCAACCACTTTATGAGGAGACTGTGAGGAACGCTGTGGCTCAGCTGGAGGAGACTCTCAGTGAAGAGATGAAGAAGTTGGTTCAAGCTGAGCTGAAGAGAGTCCAGCAGTATGCTGTGGATGTAACTCTTGATCCTGATACAGCACAACCTAATCTCATCCTGTCTGAAGATGGGAAACAAGTTCATCTTGGTGATGTCACAAAGAATCTTCCAGACAACCCAGAGAGATTCTCTCTTTGTGTTAGTGTTTTAGGAAAGCAGAGTTTCTCTTCAGGCAGATTTTACTTTGAGGTTCAGGTTAAAGGAAAGACTGGTTGGGATTTAGGAGTGGTCAGAGAG